TTCAGTGAATGTCATATGCACCTGTCATAAAAAGAATGCAAACTTGTTCTATTATCTTTTTGTGCCTTCAGTGGAAGATAATTTCTGAATCAGCTTAATGGAGGCTCTGCTCTAGGAAGATAATTCCAGTGGCCATATATAGGATAATTGGAACAATCTTTATTTCTAGGAATACTTTACCATGACTTCATTACCCTGATATAACCTTATTGATTCAACTTTTCAAACAGGACTGTGCTCAGAATATTTTGCAGAAGGTGCATAATGAGAAACCTGATATATCATACAATCGGCATATAGGGTTTCAATTCATTGTGATAGTTAAAAATAGAATATGGATTTGCCTGTGCCTAAAATTTCTATTATATAAGTCAGATAGCAAGGAAGACATGAAGACAAGTGTGACCTGGCTTGATGTCTGCATACACATACATTTTCTATTTTACTTTTGATGTTGAATAATGTGAAACTTTGGGAGTATCACCAGCTTTCAAAATGGCTGTGGATGTTTTTGATCCTACCTTGAAAACAAGCAGTGTTTGCTAATGGTACAAGGATCACACACAAAAAAAGCATTTTTAATTAAAAAATTTATTTTTACATTCTAAAGGAAATATATGCACATTACCGAAAGAGAGCAGGATGCAATTAATATGAAAACCTATATCCTACTACTCTGCCTCCCTTGCTCAACCTGTTAGTGGCCTGAAATGTCACCCTCCACCCATGCCCTTCCTAAAAATGACTTGTTCCAATTCTGCATAACCTTCCAGACATAGCTCAGGACTAAGACTTCCATAGAGTCTTTCCATTTATAAGAGGAAATAAGTCAGATACTGGAGCAATCAGGAAGCCATTCTAATGGCCCATGAAAGGTGATGGATCCCGATTTGGGTAGTAGGCATGCAGAGGAAAGAAGCCTTCCAGAAAGCGTCACTCCAGAGGTTGCTATAGTTGGGACAGGGTCCATGGGTGAAGGAGTGAAAAGAACCCGTAACTGGTTCTGGAGAAAATACAAAGCCGTGCACATAGCAAGCAATAATGTATAAGCAAGCTTTAGAAACAGGTTCTTTTTAATTATTATTATTCAGGCATCTTAATTCACTATCAAAATTCTCCTCAGCCTGTCTGATCCTCTGTCATTGGATTTTTTTTTTTAAATTACTGTGCTAAGCTTTGCCAGCAAGCTCCTCATTCCAGCTCTGGGTCTGAACTTGAGCTTCCTGCCGGCCCCTAATCAACTCTGTTTCCTTCATGCTCTGATGCCTTCCAGTCTGGTACCATTCCCCTGGTTTTTCTCATTTAAAAGTGCTGAGATACTTGTCCAAAAGATGGGCATTAAAACTGTGGTCTGCTTTTAATGATGTGTAGTGTAAGCCCCTTTAGGGGCAAGGATATACTCTGCTTGAGTAACTTTCTTCCCATTGTGAATGCTTCCCTAAAAGGCGTAGTTTGTAAATTTTGTTAATGTGAAAATGGAACATTCGGGCACCTTTTCTGTCCTGCTGATGGGTAGGGCTATTTTTATTTTTTGTTCTTCGCTCTTTTTCTGTGCTTGTGATTTTAAAGGTGCCAGACTGACTGCCCTCGAGCCTGTGTCCCCGATTTCTCCCAAGAATAGGAAAAATACGGGAGGCAGCTGAGCTGGTCATGTCTGGGTCCAGCATATTAGCCTGACCCACTCTGGAAGAATGTTCTCCAAATTATAAAGGAGAAGATTGTTCCTTATGAATACAGCCCATCTGCTTTCATAGCTGAGAAGACAAATCCTTGTTGTGCCAGCACCAAGTTACTGCAGAGGTTTGGGATCTAGTCAAGCCCAGCCATTCACTCCCTTTGGAAAAACCAGAATGTTTTTCTCTCTCCCATCTCCACCTGTCACAGTTCCATCCTTGAGTTGGGCTCAAATGCCTCTTTCTCCACAGAACCTTTGCCGAGCCCCTCTCACACGTGATTTCCCTCCCACACCTCCATAGCACTTTCTCCTCTGGCACTTGGCACCTTTTTCCATGTGATTATAAAATGTATAGAGTCTTATAGTAATTGTAAAAGGCACTGACATCATCGAATCCATTTCCGTAGATCACACAGAAGCAGAATATAGTGCTGGCAGAGAGCAGATACCTGGGGAACGTTTGTTGAACAGAATGAAAATTTCAAAACTTGTCTTTTCAGCCTGACCTTTAGGGGTCTCCCCTCATCTTTCTCTCTAATCAGTGATTGAGATTCTCTCCCATGTCCTTGGGAGTTAGCAAGCAAACTCTCCATTGACTATGTAGACTCTAGCTCTAGGGTTCCAGAGACTATACCTCGGACCAGCCATTGTCCAGATCAGAATCTCTACCTTCAGTTGTCTTATGGAGGCAATGACCAGTAGACTGTGACATTTAGCCAGAATTTTTTTTCCCTCAGGGTGTGGCTCACACATCATTACTAGTCCCTGGTGAACTATCGGAGCCCTGTTTAAGGTCTAAAGGGGAAAGAGTAATAAATAAAAATAATTCTGTTGACTTGAATTTAACACATTTGAAATGTAGAATTTGAGTATTTTCATGTCATTAGTATGTATTTTTTTTCTGCTGCAGCTGCTAAACCTATATTTTTCATTATCACTATTGTATTACATTATTTCTTCAGTTCAACAAAATAGATCGGTGATTTCAATATGATTCAGTGAAGGCAGGAAAAATAGTAATAAAGGTAATACCATACATACCACTTTGGATTAATATTAAAAATGGAGATTTTGGTGAAAAGAGGTTTCCAATATAAATATTAGAAGTGAATCTGTAAATTCTAAGATAAATTTGTAAGTTTGCACAAACAGTTATAAAGGAAAAGTTCGAATACTAAGTATGATGATGACTCTTTAAAAAATAGGATTTTATGAATTGGTGATCCATTGGCCTACAATCACAATGTGTTTTCTGTGATGAAATGACAGATAGTGACATGAAGCTTTGAGGAGTGTAGCATCGAGTTCAAACAGAGCACAGTGAACTTTTTAGTAAACCAGTTAAGCTGTTGGGGTTTTTTCCCTGAATAATCACAAAACAAGTGTCATATGCAATAACCTAATTTTGTTACTAAAGGCAATGAAAGTCCATAATTTTAAAGGCAACTTTCTAAGGTTATGCATCTCATGATAAAAACAGATATAAATAGATAAAAACAGAATAACTCTTGGGTGGAAGTTTGTAGAATAAGCCACAAAGTTATTACAAAAGCTTTTATCAGATATCAAGACTATGATATCAGCACTTCATAATGTCAACTATAGTGGAGACAGCTCAGTTTCCAGGATTTTAACTCTTTTTTCCAGTACTTGATATTTCTTATTTCTTCGGGCAAAAAAATGATCTGTAGTTTGGGTTATATTTTAAAAATACATTCAAGTCCTACAACAGAGCATATAAGAATATTTTCCAGTGCCAATATAACCAGAGAGGATTAGAAATATATGTGCCTCTTTTCTCCCAAGTTGAAACATTTAGCCCTCCCGTTTATAGGTGTGAAATGATTGTCAATCCAATGTGATGGAGTGCTGAAAGCAGTCTTCAGTGAGAAATCTCCCCATAATGTCAGCTCTATGTTCAATCCTGATGCACAGAAGGAAACAGAAGCCAGACAGCATAGTGGTTAAAACCATGGACTCTGAAACTAGACTCCTTGAATTTGAATTTCATTAACTGTTTTTTTTGTGATTCAGTTTCCTCATCTGTAAAATGAGACAGTAGCAGACCTATGACATAGGGAGCTATCAATATGAAATGAGTTAACGTGTCTAGAAGCACCTCGAAGATGCCTAGCACAGGGGAAGCCTGAGGTTTGCCTACAGCTTATGTGTTAAAGCCCCCGATTCTTGTTGACATTCCCAGTGACCGATAATTATTTGTGAAGACTTCTTACTTATAGAAGTAAAGAATAGGAAGGAAAACTGGATGTGGATCTGACCTCTGGCTCAAGATTCCCATGACAGAACCAGATCGAGATACAGACTGCAGCCAGCACAATGCCTCACACTGACATAAATATTTGTCTTCAGTTATGTTTTCTTATTCCTATTTAAAACAATGAAATTTTTTAAACCTAAATCTGATGTCCATATGTGGTCCAGATGCCCCATAAATCAGTTTAAGAATGCTGGAAGTTTACAGAACACTGGGCTGGACGGTGACAACCAGGACCTCAGGATTTAAAACCCTAGAGTCTATGGAACCGTCGCAGGTTTTAGGGATGTTCAAACAGGATCAGACTTGGAGGCAATACTAACTGAGTTGTAATAACTTGAACGGTGTCAGGTGTAAGAGATGAGACAGTTTCAGGAGGCCCTAGAAAACAGAAGTGGAAGTACTGGGTAGCAGTTAGCTTGAGGAAGCAGTCTGGCTCAATATGAGAAGGAACTTTCTAGCTGTCGGAACTGTCAGGAAATAAAAGGGACTTGCTTTTGATCTATCACTGAGGGCTGGATGCAGAGATTTTACAACCTGGGCTTTTCTGAAAGGAGTTGAAGGGTTTTTGTTTTGTTTTGTTTTTGGTTTTGGTTTTGTTTTTTTTTTTTGTTTTTTGTTTTTTTACCCCCACCGTCTAACCAGACATGGAGACTCTCTAAGCAGAAAGACCTTCTAGATGTGCCTTCCACTGCTACCTTGCTGAGTCATGTTCCTCTTACACTTGGTGTGAGATTAGAGGCACAGCAGTGGCCTCGGCATCAGGAGATCTGACTTCTACTCTGTCACTTTCTGTAGGTCCTTGAGCTGTGAGGTTCAGGTCCTCAAATGCCTCATGGAAAATCCCCATCATGGCAGCCATACTCGGGCCAGGGGTAGCCCTACCCCAGTGATCTTGCTCCTGGTGGCGGCAGCAGTGGTGGTGTCAGTCCTGTTGCTGCTGCTGCCATTTTGAGTCCGCTGTCTCCTCCATGTTGCCTTCAGCCCTAGAAAGACTGAAAGCGTTCCTTGGTATATTCTCAGGAGTCAATCCCTTTTTCTGTCTTTCAGGCCGCTGTGCTCGCTGTGGGGAGAATGTCGTTGGAGAAGGAACGGGGTGCACTGCCATGGATCAGGTCTTCCACGTGGACTGTTTCACCTGCATCATCTGCAGCAACAAGCTCCGGGGACAGCCCTTCTATGCCGTGGAGAAGAAAGCTTACTGTGAGCCCTGCTACATTGTAAGTTCATGTTCTGCTCTGCTGCTCCTCGGGTGCTTTGCAAAGATGTCTTCTTTGGCAGAATGCCAGTCGCTCCAGATAGAATGTAGCCAGCAGATCTTTGTTTCTCTCCAGATTTCAAAGTGTGCGTGTGTGTGTGTGTGTGTGTGTGTGTGTGTGTGTGTGTGTGTAGATTGGCAAATCTTAATTTTTTCCAATTGTCCCCTATTTCTGTAAGGTCAGAAAGACATGGTAGGAAGATCTGTTCATCATCAATTAGTGGTCTGCTGGGAAGATCATCCCCTTGTGCCTTTCAGGCATGTACCGTACAAGCTCACACACACACCGCTGCACAGCAAAAATCTTCCCAAGTGGCATTGTCATACCTCTTGTTATTAGGTCTCACCCTGCATTTGAATTTGCCAGTATTTGTAAAGAAACACTGCTGGGCTTCTAGACTCCCCGGTGCTCTTTCAAATTCCTGGGACCTTTGAATCACCTCTTCTCCACCCAGAAGATTTCCAACCTACAGAACCCAGCAGGTTTTCAATGATGCGAACAGATAGATCCTTTATAATACAGGAAAATGAATTTCCCTTAAAGGAAGATGAACAGTAGGCTGACTGAGCTAATAATTGAGTTTGTTTTGTTGTATTCTGTTTTTGTTTTTTAAGAACACAACAACTATATTTTAATAACATAGCTGGGTGGCTAAAACATATTTTATCTTCATTATTTCCCAGGCTACTTAAATCTACACATTAAGCTATCTTCTGATACAGCAATTTGATGAATGAATATAAACTGGTTTTAAACTTAAAAATACATTTCCTTGTTGTCTTGCTGCATGATTTTAATCTGTTTAACACTTGTTAGTGGAAAATTGGTGCAGTGGAAAAATTGGTGCATTTTTGCAAACATAACATAAAGGAAGCTTTGGGTGCAAGGTCTCAGGAGTTACACCTAGCTCTGCAGAACCCCGAGGCTCAAGTTCACTGCCGAAGTTCTGGCCCTGTCAGTATCTTCCCATGATCTGCCGGCTTGAACTCATTGCAGCCCTGGAGTCCACAGAACAGATCTGAAAGTTCTTCAAGATTAAGATCTTGCAGGATTTAATATTGTTTTGCATCTCTTAGGTTCAATTTTATTTCATTTTACTCCCCAAAGACAAATTTACTTAAGTACATATCGCATTGTACTAGTGCCACACAGTGCTGGTGCTGGAAACCAAGTCTTCTTTGTAGACATGAGAATACAGAATCACAGAAAGGAGGAAAATGACCTCTTCCGTTCCATCACTGGGGACATAGCCAAGGCTATATTCAGTCCTTCATACCCCTAGTCCTGTAGTCTCTGCTGACAGCACACATTTTTAGTTTGTCTAGAACATAAGCACACAGTAATGTCCTATTGATTGAGGGGCGGCGGGGGGGGAGCAGTTACATCTATGAGGGAAAGTCTACTGAACAGAAGCTTACCTCTTTAGGAAAGAAGAATATTTCAAATATCACCCTTTGAAATCTTTATTGAAAAGAGAAACAATACAAAATCCCCTGCCTTTGTAAACAGACCGCATGGACAGTGACTTCAGGCCAGCACATGAAATTACTTATTGAAGTAAACTCTGTGGCAGTCATGTCCACAGAACCTTTGGAAGCACCTGTGGCCCTTCGTCTTTATACGAAGTGACCACACTGCTGTGTTTTGTGTGGCTCTCTGTCTGTTTTTCATCCTTTCTTGGACTGCATTGTTGATTTTTTCTACTTAAGTGGTGCTCTGGTGACAGTCTCCTTCATTTTTTCTTGTATCCCTCAGGGCTAAGGATTGTATGAGCAATATTGGGAAATGGTGTAACATGGTGTGAGGAACATGGTTTGAATTTCATTTCATCATTTAAGGCTTTGTCTCCCTGAGAGAGCTCTTTCTGAGCCTCAGTCCCTCCATAGATATGGGGGTCATTGCAGGATTTTCCCCAGAGGCTTGTGAAGATGAAATGAGGCAATCCTGTAAAGCACACTTGGCCTGCCCAAGGAATGGTAATGGAATGCATGTTATTCTGAGATAAATTTTGGTAAGATTTCTGGCATATTTAATACTTCTGAATATGAGGACTTTACATGTGCCATATGACTCCTTGGACTTTAGCGAATTGTTTTAGCCTCACAGGCATACCCCTGTCCCATTTTTAAATGCTTTTCTTGCCCTTCTGAGTGTGTAATAAGACTGAAAAAAAGTGTCGTCTGGCTAAATTATGGATTTCTACTGTGTGTGGGCTCGGGTTTCGCTCTCCAGGCCAGGCATGAGGAGCTCAGTGATTCTTGAGTTGGTAGTTCCTTCTGCTTTGGTTGCCCTATTGCTAGACTGTGCTTATGACAAAGAAGAGTATCTGGGAAATATTTAATCACATCCTCGGAAGAGCAGGGTGAATTCAAACAATGGAAATTCTTCCCATCCTTTTTAACATTTCTCCCTCAGAAGAACCTTTAATCAAGATTTTTCTTTATGAGATCTATCCATGGTGACTCTAAAATGTAATTTAATTCTTATCAGAATTCAGTTAAGCTATTCAGAGACCCTGTTCAATATTGATTTCAGAGTTCAGCACAGCCCTCCAGCTCTCAGATGGATGTTTTAGCATTTTAATTTCTTTGGGACTTTTCGTAAATCCAATAAGCTGCCACACCAGAAATGCGAAGAGTTTTCTTTTGAGGGGATCAGGGAAGCTGAGAGTCTAAAATGAAGCAAGTTGGTTTTGAAGACAGAAGTGTGTGGTAAGGAGGATCCTAGGGTTGTATGTCACTTGGAACCAAAGCTCTTCGAACAGAAACACCTGCGATGGCATCTGGTCAAACTGCGTCTTGTTCTGTTGGTGGAAACTGATGTCCAAGAGACATCCTGTATAAACAAAGTGAAGAAAACCCAGGCCCTGGGCCTCAGTCAGTGTGCTTTCTTTCTTCTTTTTTTTTTTTTTTTTTTTTGGTAATAGAATCAGAATATTCATGACTTTGGTTTAGTTCATTATTTCTGTGTAAAGACCACCCATGTTCGATGCTCTGAGTTTAGAAAGGAGACTCATCTAATATAAATTTAATTTCTTCTTGCCTAAATTAATTATTGATCAACTTAGATCATATTGAAATTGACCATTTACATAATTTGGAGGGAAAATATGCCAGTTATGTTTTCATCTTTGCTCCAGTGATTATTCACGTTTTCCTGTTGTCTCTTGAATCCTTAATCCTTGCACATACGTAACTGTAATTAAACCGGTTTGGTTCTACAAGGCACTATAATTCTCTTTAATCATTTTATATATGCTTTCTTTTGTGTTTTCTATTGGTTGACCTAATATAAATATGTATATAGTTTTCCACTGTTAATAATCTCTATTTTTTAGGTTTTTTCCATTTAGTTTTACATTATGTTTGCATACTACATTTTAAAGGTATTTGCCACTAGAAAGGTATTGGGTGTTTTCCATTCTTTCAGTATTGTAAATAACATGCCTATAAATAGCTGAGTGAAAGTTTTATATTCTTTTACTTTGGATTTTTTTTCTTAGCATAAATTCTTTGATTTATATTACCGAGTTTACTTTGCAGCAATTTGGAGAACTTTTGCTAGATTTCTTTAGAAAGATTTCTCAAATTCACAGAACCATCAGCAATGTGAAACCATATGTTAAACTATAACCTATCCACTATTGAAGAGGTTTATTTATATTTAATTTGAACCAATTTAATAAGTGCCTTATGTAACAGTTATTTTTTTAAAGATTTTACTTATTTATTTGAGAGAGAGAGCATGCTCAAGTGCGGGGAGGAGCAGAGGGAGAGGGACAAGCAGGCTCGCGCTGAGCATGGAGCCCAGTGTGGAGCTCCATCCCAGGATCCTGAGACTCTGACCCAAGTCAAATTCAAGAGTCAGACAGCAGCTAACAGAACCACCCAGGCACCCCTATAACAATTATTTAATTTACGTTTGTATAGTTATTAGTAAAATCAATAAGATGCTTCTCAACTTTGGTGATCTCTTAAAAGCTTAGTTTTGATTATTTTTATGGAGTTGTATAAACGAACAGATTAAAATTACGAGTACTAAGCTTCCTTGAGAAGTAAGGTGATATAAATAGAATATGTTGCTTCTAGACCTTGGTCTCCTGGTGTGACCTTGGATAAGTCATTTAATTTCTGAGTACCAGTATCCTCATTGATGAAAGGGAGATAGTAATTTCTTCCCTGTCTTCAAAGAAAAGGAATGACCAGTTGTGATATTTTATACATTATGAAATTGTTTACTAATAGAGGGGCTTGATCCATTAATAACATTATTATCATCACTTTGTCCCTTAGCATAATCTGATACAATTTAGAAATCCTCTGTGTTTGGGGTAATTTCATAGCTACAGTTGCTATGGAAATACTGAAATAAATAGACGTCATAGAAGGAATATGAGGACATACAGGAGAAGAAGAGGTTCATGCTTTGCTTGAGAAGATTTTTCTGTTGGTATGAGCATGAGGGGCAACAGCCGTGCCTCCCACTTATGTGTTCTGTCCTGAACGAGACAGGTTTAGCCACAAGTATAGGTTAACAGAAGAACTGCTGTGTCCTTAGCATTGCCGAGGAGCCTGGGTCCGAGACATAGCACATCCAAGATTCTCAGCAGAAGTCTGTTTACGAAATGGCAGCCAAGCATCTTCCCCTAAACCAGGGCTCTTACTCAGAGTGGATCAAATCCAGCTTCTAACTCTCCAACAGTGGAAGTCGCTACAGACATTTTTATTAGAATTAAAGTCCAAGTGATTAAAAGGCCTCAGGAAAGCGGAGGCCAGCTCCGCAGGAGACTAAACACTGCAAGGTTCCTGAGCTTGACACATCCGTGGCCAACATGCCCGCGGCCTTTTGCTCCCTTATGTCCCTAAATGGCCACAGGCTCCTACCTCTGCAGGAAAGTTGTCCTTTTATATGCTCAGTTCCTCCCAATAGTGTTTTAAAGGCAGTTATGGCCAGTGCTTTAT